CATCTTTCAGACTTTTTATTAGTATAACTCTATAAAGCTGTGTATAAGTATGTTTTTTAATTCTGTTCAGCTTTCAAGGGAAAGTGCTTTACTTAAAAAAACAGTTGAAGAAAGTATATCTATTCCCTCTATTATTGTGGGCTTCTAACCTCTCCCACTCTTTGCTCTTTTTCAAGCCAATTACTTTAATACGGGTATCATTAAATTATGCTGGAGCTTGTTATTACAAGAATCTAAGTGTATAGGTAAGTATTAAAAACCAAGGAAGAAAGTGCAAACAAAGCAGACTTCTCAAGAGGTCAAAAAAAGAGAATTCACATTCTAACTTTTCTATTTTGAGTCACCATGGATGGTTGGATATAGGATAATAATAATTATAATAATAATTTGGAAACCAGGCACCTCTTCCTCAGGAAGAACAAAACCCTCTAACTAAAGAAATAAAAGAATTGAAACAAAGAATAACTGAGCATCTAGAACAGCACAAAAACAACAGAATAAGGCTGCCTGCATTGAAGCTTGTTCCAAAGAAAAAGCTAGCACAAGCATTAAAAGATGCAAATACTGCAATATCAAGTATAAGCACCAATTCACTGCAAGAAACAAACCAACTAATGTACAGCACAGCTGCAGTTATAACTGAATACCTGGGATGCAAAATCAACAAAGAAGAAAAACAAACAAACAGTGCACCAGAAAAATAGAACGTTAGACTAGAAAATAAGATCAGCAAGTTAAGGTTACATGCAAGCAAGCTAGAACAGATGAAAGAAAAGAAGCTGAAGAACAAGAAGACCAAAGAATACCTAATCAAGAAATACCACTTAGAAACAAGGAAGATCAAGGAAGCACTGGAAATAATAAAGCAACAAATAACAGCTATAGCCAGAAAATCAGTAGATATGAAGCTTGAATTGCAAACTATAGGCAGAACCGCCAATTTCAATCCAATCAGAAACGTTTCTACCAATCCATCAATGGAGAAACTGCAATGAATCAGTCAGTACCTGACAAGGAAGAAACAGTGCAGTTCTGGAAGCAGATATGGGATAACCCAAAGAAATACAACAAGGATGCGGCTTGGTTAAAAGCAAATAAAACAGAAGTTGAAATGAAAGAACTAGTAATAACAACAAAAATGGTAGGAAAAAAAACAAGGAAAATCAAAAATTGGTCAGCACCAGGTAAAGATGAACTGCATGGGTTTTGGTTGAAACATCTAACTGTTATACACCCATTCATTGCCAAGCAGTTCAACAATATACTACAAGGAGGAGAAATTGAAAAGTGGCTAACAACTGGGAAAACCTATCTAATAATGAAAAATCCAGCAAAAGGGGCAACACCAGGCAACTACAGGCCAATTACCTGCTTACCAACAACTTTCAAATTACTAACTGGTGTGGTAGCTGATGCAGTACAACAGCATCTAGTTGAAAACAATCTCTTTCCACCTGAGCAGAAAGGAAACCGCCCCAATAGCAGAGGAACAAAAGATCAACTCCTAATAGACAAAATGATCTTGGAAAACTGCAAGAGAAGGAAGACCAACCTGAATGTGGCATGGATTGACTACAAAAAGGCATTTGACTCTCTGCCACATGATTGGATAATAAAGTGCCTAGAAATAACAGGAGTCAGTAGAAACATCAGAAAATTTGTGCAAAGATCGATGGCACAATGGAAGACACAGTTGCAGATCAATGGTGAGAGCTGGGAGAGGTTAATATCAAGAGAGGAATATTTCAAGGAGATTCATTATCACCATTACTATTTGTTATTGCACTGTTTCCTCTGTCAACAATACTGAATAACTCAGGACATGGCTATCAAACATCAAAAACATCTGCCAGACTATCCCACCTCCTTTACATGGATGATCTGAAGCTGTATGGAAAAACATCATCTGAAATAGAATCGCTGCTCAACACTGTCCGTATATATAGCCAAGATATTGTTATGGAGTTTGGCTTGGACAAATGTGCCACACTTACTATCAAACAAGGAAAAATAGTGAAAACTGAAGGAATCAAGATGCCCCACGAAAATAACATTAAGAGTCTGGATGAGGAAGATTACTACAAATACTTGGGTATCCTTCAAGCTGACAACATCAAGCACACTGAAGTCAAGAAAAAGATTAGAGGTGAATACATCAAGAGAGTGAAGAAGATCTTAAAGTCCAAACTCAATGGAGGAAATACCATAAAGGCAATCAACACCTGGGCAATCCCAGTCATTAGGTACACAGCTGGAATAGTGGACTGGACTCAAGCAGAACTAAAAGCAATGGATAGGAAGACCAGAAAAATAATGACAATGAATCATGCCCTTCATCCATGCAGTGACATTGACAGACTTTATCTACCAAGGCAAATAGGTGGGCGTGGAATGCTACAAGTACATCAGATAGTTGAAGAAGAAAAAATGGCTTTGGAAGAATATTTGAAGAACAATGATGAAGATGCACTGAAATTATATATCAGGAAGGTTTACTGACTACTGGAGAGACCAAACTAGCCTACAAGAAAGACCAAATGAAGAACAGAATAGAGGAATGGGAAGACAAAGCACTACATGGCCAATATGTTAAAAAAATAGCTGGGAAAGCAGATAATAACAAGACCTGGCAATGGCTAAGAGCAGGAAAATTGAACAAAGAGACTGAGGGACTAATTCTGGCTGCACAAGACCAAGCCTTAAGGACAAATGCATATAAAGTCAAAATTGAGAAGACAGCAAAGACAATAAGTGCCGCCTATGCAAAGAAGCTGAAGAAACAGTGGACCACTTGGTAAGCTGTTGCAAGAAGATTGCACAGACTGACTACAAGCAGCGGCATGACAAAGTAGCAACAATGGTGCATTGGAAGATCTGCAAAAAATATCATTTGCCTGTAAGCAAAAACTGGTGGGATCATAAAATAGAGAAAGTCATAGAAAAATGATAAAATTAAACTGCTCTGGGACTTCAGAATTCAAACAGACAAGCACCTGCAACATAACACCCCAGACTTAACAATTGTTGATAAGAAAGGCAAAAAAGTCTGGATAGTGGACGTGGCAGTGCCTGGAGACAGAAGAATAGACGAGAAAGAATTGGAGAAGATAACAAAATACAAAGACCTACAAATAGAAATAGAAAGACTGTGGCAAAAGCAAGCAAGGGTAGTACCAATAGTAATAGGCTCCTTGGGTGCAATCCCAAAACAACTGGAGCACCACTTGAACACCATTGGCATGGACAAATTCGCTATTAGTCAATTGCAAAAGGCGGCCTTACTAGGAACTGCTTCCATCCTGCGATGATATCTGTAATACCATCAAACATCCACATCTGCCTATCCCAGGTCCTAGGTAAGGACTCGATAGGTAGACAAAATGCCAAATCCAGACTGAACATCTGGCTGACTGTGCGATGATCCATAATAATAATAAAGATGGAAGAGACCTTGGAGGTCATCTAGTCCAACCCCCTGCTCAGGCAGGAAACCCTACACCATTTCGGACAAATGGCTGTCCAGTCTCTTCTTAAAAACTTCCAGTGTTGGAGCATTCACTGCTTCTGGAAGCAGGTTGTTCCACTGGTTAATTGTTCTAACTGTCAGGAAGTTTCTCTTTAGTTCTAGGTTGCTTCTCTCTTTGGTTAGTTTCCATCCGTTGCTTCTTGTCCTGCCTTCAGGCGCTTTGGAGAATAGCTCGACTCCCTCTTCTTTGTGGCAGCTCCTGATATATTGGAACACTGCTATCGTGTCCCCCCTCATTCTTCTCTTCATTAAACTAGACATACCCAATTCCAGCAACCGTTCCTTATATGTTTTATCCTTCAGACTTCTATGCTTTTTTTCTTATCAGTATGCAAATATGGAAACATGCAAGTATCATCAACCTATGAAATTCTGTTTTCATACAGGGAACTCCATGACAATAACTTAATACTAAGCTGGAGAGGTGCTCCTCTTATCAGCTTGAATTATATTTTTGAGGAAATTGTATTTTTTACATCTGCCTATCTATCTTTTAAATTATAACTCACCTTGTGTTCATTTGCAGAACAGCAATATGTAACAACATACACACAGAACTCTTCCATCTTATATAACAAGTGAATATGTTATTGTAAAATTTCATGTGTAATGTATGACATCACTTCTATACACTACTTTGCACTGCACTTAGTAAACGGTGCCATTCAAAACAATTCCAAATGTATAAATGTGGTATTATGCAAGCACCTTCTGAGTCAATTCTCAAATAGAAGCTGTGATTCACATTTTTTTGTGATGTCTCTTTCAAATGTCATTCAGGGCCTGTGTCTCAGAATAAGTCACAGGGTTCAGTGCTAGGCAAAATATTTAAAATGTTGTATTAATATTGGAAAAATTTAGAGGTACTTGTTATAAAAAAGCCGATGTTCCTTATGTGTTTGCAGAATGTCACTACAGATTGGCACTAATGTCTTCACAAATAATGGAACAAATAGCATCATATTAACATTCCTTTTTGTGCTTTTTCTAATTCCATGAATTAAAGTGATGATGGTGCTCCACTGGAGAAGCTGAAGGACCAGGTTGGGGACAGATTGCCTTGGAGAAAAATCTATCTATGTGGTTGCTAAGAGGTGACATCAATTTGATGGCACATATTCAGTCGATGAGAATGCCATAGAAATAGATCTGTGCTGCTTAGTTCCTCTATCAATGGCACTTGGAAAACAGGCTAATTTCTTAATTAAATATAACTCAGTCAAATGTTTGAACTTCAACAGTGATTAGGATCGCCTGGTGCAAGCATCTCTTGAGATATTATTGCATAGATTTCCCAACCTAGAGCCCTCTAGATATGTTAGGAGTATAACTCACAGAATTTCTAGCCAAAAGCACTCCTGGGTGGAGATTCTCATAACTGTACTTCTAACATATCTGGAGGGCATCCAACTGGGAAAGAGTGAAATCAATCTTTCCCATAGTTAGGTTATGCTCTCCTTTTCATATTACGTACCTTTCCTCCTTCATTAAATCTTCCTACAAGGTAAAACCATTCCCGAGAACAGAACCATGTTGGCATGATTACTGTTGGTCCATGGGACGTGAAAACCTAGAAACAGAATGAGAAAATAGCCTATTATTTTTCAAAGAAGCATAGTTCATAAGAAATAAATTTGAGGACCCAATACTTCTTCTCTGCTAAGGCTGAAAGTCAGGTAAGTATTTCTTTTGAAAGAAAAGGGTTGTTTTGTTAAGAAAACTGAGTAATATTTCAGGACAAGTAAGAAATGCTATGAATACTATAATAAATTGTAAATATTTCATTACAAAGCTGCAGTGGGAAAGAATATTGTTAACTGATAGAATGTACTGAAGGAGGCAATAAACACTTTTCCATGAACTGTGTTTCCCCTTTATCTCTCTCCTTAGAACAACTTAAAGGATGGGCTATATATAACACCATTTAGATCACAAAATCAACAAGTCAGGAATGAAACATATTCCCAAAATAATCATTTTTCCACACTAAAGCAAAACTGAACTCAGGAACTCAGATTACAAATCTGAGATCATGCATTTTGCAATATCTGATCTTGGTTTTGTTATTAAAAATTTATGCATTTGCGTCAAAAACATAAGGAATCCCAATATAAAACTCTTTTTACAACCCTGTGAACCCTTAATTTGGGGTAGAGTTGGGGCAACTAGACAGAGCTGAGCATTTACTGGCTGGATGCCCTTCCTGACACCACGTGGAGTCTGCAGCAAATATTTTTTCCTTGCACCCTAAGAGAGAAATGTCTGCTGCTATTTAGGATTGAACTTTCAACCTTTCGAGTGCGAGACGAGTGTCTTCACCACTAGGCCACCATGCTGCTCATAAGGACCCCAATATATGGGCTGTTATTCATATGTGATATTCTATAATGGGCTTAATGGACTCCCTAGTGAAAGTGCTGTTGACATTTTCTGCCAGTAATTTAGAAGTAGCTCTTGCATCTGAAGCTTGTCATGTTTCTTAGATTAAAATAAAGAAAATTTAGTGATAATCTACATCTTGTTCTATGGCATGTAGTGAGTTTCCCATAAGAACTAAACTTCACAAACATGAAATAAAGTAGTTGAAAACGAAGCACACCTGTAATTTTACTGTTTATATATTATATGACAAAATTAACGACTAATGGAAAGTGCTGTCTTAGAACAAAATCAAGTGGAAAGTATTTGAATGACTCTGTAACAGCCTTAGGCAATTGGTATTTAGTAAAATTTATTTTATGTCCAAGTAACCTCTATAAAATAAGAACAAAAATGGCACACATGAATAGAAATATTGGCAAATTTAATTAACCTAAATATTTACACAGAAAACTGAGGCAAACTAGTATCTAGGAAAATAAATGAACGTGACCCTTGATTTGTATATTTCTGAACGACAGTTTCAGTGAATTATACCAACAAAGCCTTTTTTGCTTTAAACAAGTATGTCTTAAACCTAGAGCTGAAATAAACCAGAATATCCGGATTATGTAAGGTAAATCTATTTTTTTCCATTAATATAAGACAAAATGTCCAACATGTCTGCAGACTAATCTTCTTGTCAAGAAGTTAAAGGAGCATAGTGCATCCTGTCTTAGGTATTATATCTAAAGCTACTTTTATGAGTTAAGCAAACACAGACATATATTAGTTGTTTCCAGCTGCTTCTTGTGGACTTAACCTAGCTCATTCACAGTGTACAGGTGATTCATACAATACCACTATCCATTTATTATTCTGCCATATTTTTGCAGTGTTGATTCTTTCATTGGTTCCCTTGTTCCATTACAACTTCCCTACATATTCTTAAAATGCTCTTTAAAAGTAGTATTTTTTTTAAAAAAAAAGAACTTAACCCAACAGCCATCATCTAGGATGCCAGATCTGTACAATATAGTTCATCTATAAACTAACTTTGTAATTTAATTTTAAAATACATGATTCACCTCCCTCCTTTATTCTTCTTGAAATCCCATTCACTGTATGTTTTGGCTGCAAGAAAAATAATCATATTCCATATCTAATGTTCTACAAATCTGTAAGGCAAAACATTATAAAAAGAAAATGTCTAATTCTGTAGCAATTCTAATTATTTAACATACCTAAACCATTTATCCCTAGCAACATTGTATATGCCATTCTTATTATCTTGTTTTCAAGGTTTACCATAGTTTCTAAAATCATTATAAATAGAATTAGTATAAAGGACATAAAGGCAATATTGAGACTATAGGAAGAGTAATTATCCTGAAAGATCACTAAGGAAAAGCAGCCTTAGGATCATATATAAGATAACACAGTAGAGAGATTTCAATTATGAGTAGCTCCAATTCTTATATTATCTGTATAACAGATGAATATACATCATTGTTTCACTCCATACCTACCAGTATATTCTTTTTCCAGTCACACCAATAACAAACAGTATCGGTTCGACGAAGCAAAAGTTATCAGCCATGCCAATTTTTTTCAGAACAGGTATATTCAATAGTATTGTCTATTGCTTCAGCCACACAGTCTTATTCTAAATTTATTCACATAGAACTGTTGGCATTTTAACCACTTGTCTTTCTGAAGCTTTAAAAAGTTCAGTGGCAATTCCATCTGCATCTGTTTCTTTCCTATTGAATAGTTGATACTTACTTTCTATTGGTGTTAGTTTCTGAATATACAGTATTCTCTCTCAATAAATATTTCAGTCATTTAAAAATCCTTATTGTATACAGTTTCACTGTTGCCTTTCTATTTTGTTTTAAACTCATTTGCTTCTGTTATCATTTATTTCCACTAGCAGTCTTAGATAGTTGTACCCAAGCCGTACATTTTCCAATTATCTCTCTGATCTTCTAAAAGTTCTCTTATTTTCCTTTATTTGTTGACATTCTTGATTGAGATATCGTTTCTCATCCTTTCTTTGTTTGATATTGAAAGTCTGTATTCAGTTATCATGTCCTTGTTATCCAAGGCTTTTGTCCTTCGGCTATCATGTTGCTTAGTTTTAAAAGCCATTTTAAATGTTCGGTGAATATCCATTTCTAATAGATACATTCCTTTTGTCTGTTTGGTTATAGCTAAGCACATACTTTACAATATCCATTTTGAGTATCACTACCATTCCATTCCTCCATTCAGTCGTTGCATTGAGTACTACATAATGCATGAATGTTAAAGTGACTTGTTCTGACCAAATCAATTACCGTATATTCCGGCGTATAAGACGACTGGGCGTATAAGACGACCCCCAACTTTTCCAGTTAAAATATAGAGTTTGGGCTATACTCGCCGTATAAGACTACCCCTCTTTCAACGCACACCAAATAAAAATTAAAAAACATCAGATTTGATTTCAATATGGTAATTTTAATTCAAATGCTTATGACATAAAGGTACTTAGCAGAAAAACTCCATATTGTCTTGCAGCAGCGCAGTTATTATGTTCCATGGCAAAGTTTACAACTTTAAGTTTGAAACTGGCTTCATATTTCTTTCTTCTTGCTGGTGGAGCCATGATGGGGTCTTGACTATTGGACATTTGTATACTGTACTGTATGTATTGGTGCTGTACTGTATGAACTGGTACAGATACTGGTGCTGTACTGTATGTACCCAGTATACAACAACCAGCCAATCACAGCAAGTGATGAACCTTGGCTGGTTGTTGTATACAAAGCCTGCTTGGATTGGGTGGATCAGCTCTCCCTGCCTGCCCAACCCTTCCTGTCATCTTATAGGCCAGGGGTAGGCAACCTTGGCTCTTTTATGACTCATGGACTTCAACTTCCAGAATTCCTGAGCCAGCTATGCTGGCTCAGGAATTCTGGGAGTTGAAGTCCATGAGTCATAAAAGAGCCAAGGTTGCCTACTCCTGTATAGGCCCTAGGGAAAAAATGGACAAGCTAATTCCATGAGGGAGGGGGAAAGGGAGCACAGTTTCTGAGTTCTCATTGGCCACCTGTAAGTCCAAATGAGTAGCTCAGGGTGTGTGCGTGCACGTGTAGGCATGCGTGTGACTCCCTGGGTCCCTTCCATTGCTCTCCCCCCAGTAGCAAGCTTTGGCTTGGAGCAAGCAGGCTGCACGCAGGGATCTCCTCCATTCAGTCTTCCACCCTCCAAGCTGAGTGAGCAGAAAGCCTGCCTGTTTGTCAAAGGCTCTGCCTTGTCAATCGCACACACACCTTGATGAAAATTGCCCTGCCTGCAAAAGGACTTCTCAGCAGTTTTTTAAAGCAACACTACCAAGAATGAAATTGGAGACAGCCAGAATGTTTAGGGAAGAAGGAAAGGAAGCAGTTAATAAACTAAGTAAGAAAGGCATTCGCCCTTCGAAAACTTGCATTTCCATAAATGTGATAAGTTGCCCCCTTTTCAGGTAATGGGGGGGGGAGTAAATGCTTTCCTTTTAATTTGTTATTAAAACTCAGTGCACTACAGTACTTATAGATGGGAGCCAGATTGACCAGCCAGGATCTGTCATAAATAACATCACAAATGCACCATGCAAGTTTATTTAGGGGGGGGGGGAGAAACTGCTTGCATAAGCTCGGTGGAAGTCGACAGGCAAAAGGATTGTGTAGCTGTTTTCTGTTCCCACTCCATTCCTGCTTCATGAATCCGAGAGGAATTTAGCTGACACCCCTCCCCTTCCAGACCCATAAGCTCCGCCTCCCCCAAGCTACTCTCACCGGCAGTGAGAGGTAAACGCTGAAAAGCTTGCATGAAGAAGCACTGAGAAGTGCCTCGAATGGACGCAGATGCTTAGGTTTGTTTTCATTATATAAAAAAAAACACCTTACAATTCTTTTCCCCCCTTCCCCATTACATGGGCCATTCCTTTCTACTTCCTTTGAATGAATTAATCAGGGGATGGCCACTACCAATCCGCAGTTCTGGAGGGGTGGGCAAGGAATTGGGATGCAAAAGGGAGGGAAGAAGAGAGGAGACGGTTTGCAATGTAGCATTATAGAATGGGGATTAAACCTCCAGGAAATCTTACCGTCACAACAGCCAGATAATGCCTATCGTACTCTCAGAGATATCTTTAGTTGATCGGCTGGTTTTAATAATAACCCT